TGAAAATTAGCGTTAAATCACAGACAAACAGACATAACACTCGCAAGTTGTTCATCGAACAAGCATTTAACGGTCAATTTAAAAGTATCGTAGTTGGTAGTACCGCCACCTATGGCGCGCATAGTCAATTCCCTTGCGTTTGACGTTTACACACTACCGCCATCTGTTCAGCGTACTACCCACCACAGTGTACTCAACAGATGGCGGTAATGTTTTTGCGACGATGTTCTACAGTGAGTAATATTCAATGTGTTATGTCTGTTTGTCTGTGGTTAAATCATAATTTTCATCAAGCCTGTGTAAAATCCTTCCAATATAACATTCGAATTGAAGAAGAAAACGTTTTTACGATCAGACTGATATGCATCTTTGACTTTTCCAGTTGAACTTTCATTAGATATATTCATTTCATTTCGCGGCTCCATCAATGCTGCATTGTAAATATGATGTAAACAGAAGTAAATTGCTCAATTACTCAAAATAAAGATGATTTGTCATCTTGTTATCACTTTGAAGACCATCTAGCACCATTTTATAGTATGGTGCGTGTTGAGTAAAGCAAGTTCCGTTGCGTTTTCCGTTGAAAATTGTGAGTATCAATATGTTTGCTTAAAAAAGGCCAAAATGAACATTTATTGAATATTGGTGTCCTATACAACAAATTCTCTATTACCACCAGCATGATACAACCTTTCATAAGGAAATAAACTTAATTTCCACTTTCATCTTAGTGGAAATCGCACATATTCACCATTATCCGAAAAATGCAGCTGCGCAGGAGGTAACCTCTCGCTGTGGGTGCAAACTTGTTATGCATTATTTTCCATGAAAACCTCTCCGATCCATACCGAAATAAAAACAATTAGTTTTCAAACACGTTTTCTTACGCGATTCAAACAAAAGTTTCCACGAGAAATTATTAGTTTTTCTTTATGGACCGATTTGCCCCAATAATCGTCTGTTTTACTTGGAAAATTTGGAAACTATCCTCCTTCTAGTAGTTCTCACTTCGAAATGTAGGAGGCGAAAGCTTGGAAAAGTTTCCCTGCAAGACGCCAATTAAGGGCAGCTCAACATTGTATTGGCGTCTTGCAGTGAAACTTTTCCAAGCTTTCGCCACCTACATTTCGAAGTGAGAACTACTAGAAGGAGGATACTTCCAAATTCTCCAAGTAAAACAGACGATTTTTTAGGCAAATGTCTTTATGGGTAGTTTTAGATGCACAAAAATTGCACGAGTACGTTACTATGGTGATAAGGTAAACACTCGTTTATTTGTTTCCTTCTATGAAAGCATCGTGGATTTTCTGATATTCTCCATACTGCAAAAATGATTTTCCTACCACTGAAGGGGCGACATCTCTCGGATCTTCAGTATTGCTACTACTCAAATCATATAATGAATTGGCAATATTCTCTGCATTTATAAACCTTTTATCTAGATAAAAATAATTTGTCCGAAATAGATTAGACACCAACCAACTCATACATTTTGTACGCGTGTTCGTGGCTAGGATAAATATTTTCCGCGAACACGGTGGCAGATGTCAGTTTTGAGTCAGAAATTTCTTTGTAATTTGTAGATCATTCATGTCGGTTTATCGGTGATATCGCTGCACATTTTAAGGATTCTCGATCAAGAGTTAAGTTTAAGTTGCATGTCGGTTTGTCGGTGGTATTAGTTACTTGTTATTTCGACAGTGAGCATGCATAAGAGCGTAAACGCGATGATCGATTCTCTTCGTCGATTTTCTCTTTTGTTAATAACTCGCTAGATTTAACGTTTCTCGGTGCGTTTGCTGTTGCTTTTGATAGCCAATACAACCTGTTACAACTCTGCATTGAACAAATTCTAGAAAATTGATTCGCTTAGCTGCAGCAATGCAAAGAGAAAATCGATGAAGAGAATCGACCATACGCCCTTATGCAAGCTCACTGTCGATTTACTTTTGCGCACCTGCACTGAAGATGAATCTTACTCAGAGAGTGAGTCACTTTTACTCATGAATGTAATGTCGGCCTAAATGCCCCTAATTTGGGCCCATACATAATTTCAGCAATCGACTAAATTTTCAATAACAATCAAAAATATCCATTAGAACCGTCCCAATGACGCGTTTATCTAGATAAAATTGATAAATAGCCGATTTTTAGCAATAGGCCCAATCTTAGATCCATTGGCCAACATTAGAGCCATTTCCCCTATATTCGTACACGAATTAGTGAACGTAAAATTGAAGTTACTCATAAAACATCTTACTCAATTTTGAGTTGGTTTTAATGAACGTTTCCAATTTTCATAGTGGTATGAAAGGTGGTGAAGCGCAACAGCACAGACACAAATTATAGCTAATTTGACCAACCAATGCTTCTCAGAGAGTGAGTCACTTTTACTCATTCTTATGAGGAAATTTCTAAAAGCGTAGCTTAAGCGTACGCTGAGTGATCTTCAAGCTATTTCAAAATTAATTAATTAATTTAGCTTTATTTAGGAGGCTTTCAGCCTTAGGCTGGTTCGCCTCCGCGCTATTTCAAAACTCCCCAAATAGAATCCGTCCAGATCAGTCAAAACTGAAACTACCCAAAAATGGAAGTGAAAAGCTGACAAATTAACAAAGTCGATCGGATTCATGTCGATGTTGTCCATTTGTCAACATGTCACTTCCAACATAGTTTACCAATTTTCGGGTACGTTCAGTTTTTTTTCAGTAGTTTTTAGTTTTGAAATAGCGTGTCTGCATTAAGATATTTCTCCATTCGCATGAATAAAAGTGTTTCAAAACTGAGTAAAAGTTTCTCCCTCGCTGAGCTGGTTTCGTTTTCAGTGATCGATACTAGCTTGTATACAACATCTTAAAGTATTCAAGATTGAGTGCAATATTCACGGCCGCTGGAACTAACTCAATGTGGGAGTCATTTTTACTTACTTTACTTGTACAGTCAAATATCGCTAATTCGATATTGAAGGGTAGATCGGGTTAGGGATAAAATCGACCAAGTTACTAAAATTTGGGGAATTTGTATTGAAAAATTGTTGAATTAGCAAATATTATAAACTAACAATATGGTTCACTCTTCTATTATCCTCACGACACGGTTTTTTTCCCGACACTAGCAGCACTAGTGACACGAAAGGTGGCTACTGTGTTACCTGACTTATAACGAATATACGTTGTATACGAGTACCTCGAATACAACGTATATTCTTCTAATTTTACATTTCAAATGCCATACAAAATTGGAGGCGAACCAGCCCCAGGCTCAAAGCCTCCCTAATAAAGATAAATTAATTAATTAATTAATGCCATACAAAACTACGAGTCATACGTTGTATTCGGGGTACTCGTAAACAACGTATATTCGTTATAAGTCAGGCACTGTAAATTGAGCGCTTAGAAGTAGAAATACTTAGAGGGACATATGGGCGTAGATAATTTTTTGAGCCAAATGAACTGTCAAAATCTGAGCCATTCGAACATTCCCATTAGATTTTTGCCGAGGATTTCTAATTCTTAATAGATTAAATTTGAGAGTATTGCAATCCAACATAAATTCAATCACCTTTATGTTTCGAGTGCTTCTCAAATTCAACTAGTTTTTGGAATCAAAAACAATATTCTAACTCTATTGATTAATTGATCTTAGTTGGTTAAATTGGGCACCAAGACATTTGCTGAATGTTCCGATGCAATCGATTATTTTTTTGCACGTAAATCGAATCAAAAATAAAAGTCATGTGAAATGCTAGCTTCTAAGTAGCAAGGGTTGCAAGATAATTTAGGTACAAATCCCTGCTGGCGAATTGTATTTTGTTTTCTCCGCCCATCTCTCCCTCTGAGAATTTCTACTTAGAAGGGGTTTCGTTGAACATTTGAAAAGATCCTCAAAAAAGGGGCTGACAAAATCGGGTCATTACTGTACCATTCAATATTAACAAGTTTATAAAAAACAACTCACAGTTTAATAAAATTTTACTCAGTATTGTGAAAAATAACATTTTTTTTTTAATTATATTACAATAATTTTATTCAAACTGGATGTTATGGCAAAACATAATATAATATATAATAGAAATAAAAACGATTACACAGCAAAAAAAAGTAATATCGATCAATGCAATTCAAGCTGATGTATGAAATAATGATGTAATAGCAAAAAGCAGATACAATATTACATCAATGGATGTAATTTTATTCGCAAAATCGATGTACATCGTACAACGTTATATTACACAACCGATGGATTGATCTGGTTGCAGCAGTTTGAATGTAATATTCAACAACCTTTTTTTGCTGTGTATGCATCGTAAGAATATTTCGATTTTATACTATGACACGTATAAACCATTTTTATACTAAGTTTGCATTCTCTCTCTTTATACCGACCTTTGCGTCGGTACGGAGAGTTGCGATTTATCGTAACTTTTATACTATTTAGATGTCAATATTTTTTGAGTGTACAAAACAATAACAATAGGGTCAATTTTCAACAACAGAATGTGGTCTATTTTATTAATAGTTATTACATAATCAGCGAACAGAATCAGAATCTATGTAGAGATCTGCATTCCTGGAGCTTCTTCCCCTAAGTACGGCCCGTTGAGATTTCAGCATAAAGTAGCATAAATTTGCTTTTCGACAGAAAATTTAATATTTTACTTGCGTTACATTTGAAAAAGGTTTATCAAATTTCGTAAACAAAACTTGTTTGGCACTTAATGTGTAAACCGCAGTACGTCTACGCAAACCAAAAGCACTATCGGCAAAGGAAAATGTCCCCTATTCGATGGATATGTTTGTTTGCGTGAGCGTACCTCAGTTCTCGCGAAAAAGGCATAACAAGTTTTGTTTATAAAAGTTGATGGACTCTTTTCAAATGTAACACGTGCTTTCAGAAACGTCAAACGTCTTGAAATGCGAGCTCAAAGCAAAAATGTTGACACTTTCAAAACCCTCGCACGCACACAACCACAATCAACCGTATAAAGAAACACAACGAGGAAGCGAAGAGAAACGATTGTAGAGTAACGAGTAACATTAAAAAAACTAACTTTGCAAAAGGCTGCCATTTTTTGGTTGTGGTGCGGATAATATTGAATTTTGTCCTGTACTTCGGTCGCACAACGCGTGTGTGTTTGCGTTTTTCGATAAAGTTAATGTCCGCAGTTCCTTTGACGAAGTGAAACGTACCGATTTGTGCCGTGAAAATGTGATATTCCTTCGCCAAGAGCGACCCAAGTGCGTGCAAAAAAGTCCTTGAGAAAAATTTCTTCCTGCCGGTGTTTCCCTTTTTGTACCTTCGGCCAGCAGCCCAACTGTAATAAACGGTGCGGGGTTGGTCGGGTGCAAGGCGTGCGGTCAGGGGAAAACATTTTGTGAGAGTGATCCAAGTTCTGGAAATGTCTTCAAAATTGTTAAACTACCCAGCGGCCAGTTCCAATCCGCATCTGAGTGCCGGTACATCCGGTTCGACGGCTGGGGTAAGAAACGGAACTACCAGCCACGGTTCGGCTCAGCTCAACTTTGAAAATCTCCAACTGGATGACATCCTGTGCACCGTGTGTCAGTCGGTCCTAGTAGAACCAGTGTTCCTGCCGTGTCAGCATCGGTTCTGCCGGAACTGCCTCAGCGGAACGATCGAGAAAAACAATCTCAACTGTCCGTGCTGTCGGAAACGGTTTGGAACGTGGTATCGGAATGCCTCCCGTGTGAACAAACTGGTTCATGAGCAGCTGTGGAATGCGATTCAGAGCCAATTCCGGGACTACCTGGACGAGGACGGAGCTGGCCGGTGCAACGGGAACGGGAGCACCGGAGGCTGCTTCGTGCCGCGTAAGTGCCATGTCATTTATGTTTTATTTTTCGGTTTTTTATTGATCGAAGCAAAAATCTAGATACAAAGACCTAACATTCATGACTCGCAAATCTTTCAGTGATGCTGATTTGTTTATCTTTCGGTGGTTGAACTTTGAGTGATTGTAGCACTGGATTCGATATTAACTTCAAAGCGACAATGCACGCTATTTCAAAACTTCCCAAATTTAAGTAGGATCCCACCCATATCGGTCAACAGTGAACATGGTGGCAACTACCTGGAAACACTAAACAATGGTTTCCTCTATTATAGAAATCAAAATGAGGAACTTCCACAGCTTTAAAATAAATTGTGCCTATTGGCAAATCAAAGTTCGCACTCGTGGAGAATAGAAGAACTTTGAGAGTTAAAGATGGTTTCAAAATTTTACACGGTGAGGTATACGAATGCAATCTTAAAATGCTTTTATTTTTCAAATGGAGCATTTTATTTAAATCTGGTTTCTGCTATAGTGGTAGAAAAGCTGAAATCTATGTATACACTTAAAAATCAGAAAATAAATTATTTTTTCTATATTATATGTTAATTGAGTAGTCCTTATGTTTTCTACTAACGTAGCATTAACCAGATTTAAATAAAATGCTCCATTTGCAAAATAGAAGCATTTTAAGATTGTACTCGTATACCTCACCGTGTAAAATTTTGAAACCATCATCACTTTCATAGTTCTTCTATTCTCCACGAGTGCCAACTTTGATTTGCCAATAAACTGCTCCATTTGCAAAACAAAAGCATTTTAAGATTGCACTCGTATACCTCCCCGTGGATAATTTTGAAACCATCATCACTTTCATAGTTCGTCTATTCTCCACGAGTGCTAACTTTGATTTGCCAATAGAGGTAACTCTAAAGTGGACCCTACACGATTTCTTTTATTGACAATAATCGTATTGTCAATACATTCTATATTGACGTCAATTCATCGAGATAGACAATATTTCTAAATTCACATCATCAATAGTATTGTCAATAATTCCCCTTCGCGTCAATATATTGATGCTTGTGGGGTTTGCTTAAGACCAGCACGTTCCGAAGAAACGTGCTCAACTTTTTGGCTCAGCTCAGGTACTCTCTTCGGTCCCAAGCTAATCGATGCACTCCTCGAAACATAGGAAAATCCACGAGCCCCTCATTTTATCTGTCAAACATTCATAGCGAATCAAAACAAACATCGACAGACGTCGATTAAGTACTTGGGACCAATAGGCTAGTCAACACACCAAATTTAAGTTTTCAATGTCAGTAAAACGGATTACTGGATCATGACCAGCAATCCAATGCTTTACTGAAAAACAGCAAACGATATTTTTACTGAAAACATCAGCTAACATAAACTAACACCCAGTAGAAGAGCTAAACTGTTAGCATCACAGTCGCAAGTAATTTTGCATTCGTACACCACCATTCAAACCGCAGGAGGAGGAAGGGCTGAAAAAAATACTACGAATAGATAAAATTATGTAGGTAAGGACACTGGTTATATTTAATAAACGATACTTGGAAAGGAGTCTGACGATTTTATCTTTATTATTCGTATATTTCCAGAAGCTGGAAGCTCATGTAGTGAAAACAAATTCGATTTACTGAATTTAATTGTTTAATCAGCAAAATGCTGCCAAATGTCCAAATTTTTAATTGCTGAAAGATTAGTAAAGAAATATTGCTGATTTTCAGTAAAAGGTTGCCATTTTGGCAGAAGTTGAAATTGCTGAAAAATTCAGCAGCATTACGGAACGTTTGCTGATCTTTCATCAAGTCTAAAATCAGCAAAATTTTGCTGATGTTCAGCGATTTAAATTTGGTGTGAAGTAGTGAGCCAATTTAAAATCGTCAGTTTCGTATTGATTGTTGGTAGAACTGGCAGTTTTTTTTTTTTTTTTTTTTTTTTATTATAGTCACTTTAACACTCTTGGGTCATTCGTGACTTGTCCGGGGGTGAGATTTGAACTCGTGACTTTGGCGTGAGAGGTATGGATGTTAACCACTACGCCGGGGTCGCCCCCAACTGGCAGTTTATTCTCATATGAATTACTATTTTTTTATGTTTACATTCAGCACCATTAACACCAGATCACTCACACGCTCTAGATTTCTAGCTGTCAGTTCCACTGAGAAACGTCTCTTGGTCGTTTTTTCGAAAAAAAGAACTATTCTAAAATTTCGGAATTTTAACTTGACGGACGTGGTGAAAGGATGTTGCTCGTCAACAACGCAGAAGCGTGCTGCAGTCTGAAAAATTATCGAGAAAATCTACCCAAAAAAATCGACAAAGTCCACGTAAACAGTACCACTGAACTGTCATCAGATTGAGGTTAACCACGACGGTTCAAAACCTAATAAGGTGATCCAAGAGACGTTTCTCAGTGGAACTGACAGCTTTAAATCTAGAGTGTGTGGTGCTGAATGTAAACATAAACAAAGCAGAAAGTCATATGAGAATAAACTGCCAGTTCTACTGTGATCTGATAAAAGTTCTTGGTAAACAAAATAGTCAGCTGATCGCAACTGTCTCGTGGACAGCCTTATTGCGGATGTTTTCTTTCAGTATAGGCGATTATGAGAGAAAATGTCATCCGAGCCGTTTGTTTACATCAAATTTACTATTTTCAAAACTCAAAATACTACACATTTTATAGCGCATCTCTCAAATTTCCATGATGAGTGGTCTTATTTTAAGGTTGTCTACAGATTTGTATGGATTTTCAGCTGAAATAACCACAAATTTTTAATCCGGAAGATCATAACCGCTGGAACAATTTAATAAATCTTTATTTTTCTCAACAAAAAAATAAGGATGCATATCAAAGAAACTGAACATGCTAGATCAAACGGAGGCCACTTTCAGTAAGAAATTGCTTCTTAGTGGTGTCATACAAAGGATCAACGAAATGATGCTGATTGCTCAGCTGATAGCGTTGGTTTTATGTTTGTTTCATCCATCAGAAATCAGCTGGACCTATTGTACGTCGATAGCAGCGAATAGACCCAGCAGCTGGTTTTCCGTTTGTGACGATTGATGGACACGATTCATGATCTTTAATTTGGAACCGCGAAAACAACATAACCGAATCGGGTTCTGGGGTTTCCAATCTTTAAAAATAATTTGAGTTGTGGGCAATCTTGTAATATTCATTTGAGAATAATGCATTTTAGCAACTACAACTAGAAATGCGTAGGTGCAGTACACTGGGAGATTTTTTTTCACCGTTGTAAACGCTATGGCTACGAGACTAGGTTATACATAAAAAATACTGCAATATTCGCATGAAAAGCATCAAAAATACGGAAATAAAAAATTAGACCACAATTCACACCTGGATGCAGTTTCGCCGTAGCTGATGGCGTACAAACCGAGGGGCGAAATTAACTTCACTATACTAAACTACACAAGTTAGTTACGCCTCTTTATAGATGTTAATTTAGGGTAACAAAACTTTTTTTTTTGTTAATTTCAATGAAATTGTTCATAGTATTGGATCACTTGCTGTCCATTTCTATAAAAAAAACTCAGTTTGTTTACATATGTCAGTTTCGCCCTTTTGAAATGTTGGTATTGACATGTGCAAATATGTTTCCTTCCTAAAGGCCTTTTTAATACACTGCCAACGTAGAAGGCACCACGCGAGTTCGAGAGGAAACGTCAATCAAACCGTTTGTTTACATAAGAAGAAGGAGTGTTCACAACGCAAATTAAAGCATTTTTCATTAAACATCTTGCCAATTTCCATCAGTAATTGTCTTATTTTACGATTTTCCACACATCTGAACTGATTTGCACCTAAACTATTCACACACAAGAAATCCGGAAGATCATAATCACTAAGGTTCTATAGGCCTTTTTAATAGAAACTAAAGATCGATTCAACCTCTGGTGGTGAATAGGAGAACGTCAAAAAGAGTATTGTGACCATAAATTTTAGACTTGAGACATAGGAAGCGGAACACTTTTTTACTTTTCCTGATCAATTGATTCATCTGAGATGCTGGAAAACTTAATCTACAGTTGAAAAATTTAATTCTGTAACGTTTTTGAAAAGATCCTGCTGGTGTTCAGGAATATTTTTGTTGCGAAAAATGGATAGTTAGAAAAGTGCCTTAGTGGTTATGATCTTCCGGATTTCTTGTGTGTGAATAGTTAAGGTGCAAATCATTTCAGATTTGTGGAAAATCGTACAATAAGACAATTACCGATGGAAATTGGCAAGATTTTGAATGAAAAATGAAATGGGGAAAATACTTATTCTGATGTAAACAAACGGTTTGGTTGACGTTTCTTCTCGAACTCGCGTGGTGCACTCTGCATTGGTGGTGCATTAAAAAGGCCTATTGGAATTTTCCATTTTTCTCAACAAAAATATTCCTGAACACAAGCAGGATCCCTGCAAAATTGATACAGAATTGAAATTTTCAACTATAGATCAAGTTTTCGAGTATCTCAGATGAATCAATTTATCAGGGACAGTGAAAAAGTGTCCCGCTTCGTATGTCTCACGGCAACTATTTCTGCTCACAACACTCTTTTTGACGTTCTTCTATTCACCACCAGAGGTTGAATCGATCGCTAGTTTCTATTAAAAAGGCGTAATGCTTCACGGTGAAAAGTTCAGCCCTTATCACTCTTTTGAGGGTTCCCCTATTCACCACCAAAGACTGAAACGATCGCTTAGTTTCTATTGAATTCGCCTATAGGCCTTTTTAATAGAAACTAAACGATCGATTAAACCTGTGGTGGTGAATAGAAGAACGTCAAAAAGAGTGTTGTGAGCATAAATGTTTGCCTTGCGACATAGGAAGCGGAACACTTTTTTACTATTCCTGATAAATTGATTCATCTGAGATGCTGCAAAACTTAATCTACAGTTGAAAATTTTAATTCTGTAACGTTTTTGAAAAGATCCTGCTGGTGTTCAGGAATATTTTTGTTGAGAAAAATGGAAAATTAGAGAAGTGCCTTAGT